GCTGTTGTGCAGGCTGGTGGGGCTGCTGTTGTGCTGGCTGCTGTGGCTGCCGTTGTGCGGGCTGATTGGGCTGCTGTTGTGCGGGCTGATTGGGCTGCTGTTGTGCAGGCTGCTGTGGATGGCGGTATTGAGGCTGCTTGGTCTGCCGTTGTGCGGACTGCGTGGTCTGCCTCTGCCATTGTGCAGGATGGCTGTATTGAGGCTGCCGGGGTTGCTGTTGTGCAGGCTGTGGTGGATGGCGGTATAGAGGCTGCTTGGTTTGCCGTTGTGCGGACTGCTTGGCCTTCTGTTGTGCAGACTGCTTGGTCTGCCATTGTGCAGGATGGTGGTCTTGAGGCTGCTCGGGATGCTGTTGTGCAGGCTGAGGGGGCTGTTCGACAGCGGTTTCTTGATTCTCACTCTTCTTCATATTCATATTCTCATATTCTTTCAAAGTGTATGAAATAGTAGGCTTGTTCTGAACAGGAGCAGTCACATCAGCACCAGCAGTATCACCAGCAGCTACTGCATTTTCGCTGTGGCTTTTCTCCTCGTTCCTCTTCTTCTTCAGTTTTCTCCTCAGACTTCCATTGATATTTGAATTTTTCTTTCCATCAGAAGAACTCTTGCTGCTGCTTCCATTGACCCCATTACTCAGTAGTTGGGTTTTGTTCCCCTGTTCCTCACCACCCTGTTCTTCCTGTTTCTTCTCCACAACTTCAGTCTCCTTCTTCTTCTTCATCAACTCTTCAAAATCCTCTTTGCAAAAGCTCCCAAAAGATATCTCTGAGAACACAATACTAGCAGCACTGGAGACAGATCTAGTATCATCAGCAGATTTCGGCGCAGCACGAAAATTCTGGGAATTGAAATCCCTTTGGTTGTTCTGGCCTCTTCTGTAAAACCCATTATTATTCTTTTGTCCTCCGAGGAATAAATGTTTTTGAATACTCAGACTCAGCCGCTCCTTCTTCTCCTGCTCCTTCTTCTTCTTCGCCTCCTTCTTCCTCTTCTCCGCCGCCTCTATCTCCTCCTTCTTCCTCTTCTCCGCCGCCTCTATCGCCTCCTTCTTCCTCTTCTCCTCCTCCATCCCCTTCTTCTTCGCCGACTCTATCGCCTTCTTCTTCACCTCCAAAAACTCGGCCCTCTCATCAACCGCGCTGATGAGTTCCTTGACATCGATGTCTTCGGTCTCGCCCAGCAGGTCGAAAGAGTTGGCGAACTTGGCCATGATTAGAAGTTAGAACAGAGTGTTTCCTAGGGTTTCTGATTGATCAGAGAGAGAGAGAGACTAAGGGTTCTGATGGATGCTATGATCAGCACAATGGAGAAGAAGGTTTGGCCCTCTATATATATGCAATTCTTGAGTCAGTTCTCCTTGCTCGCCAAGGAAACCCCTAAATCGTTTCGTGCTCTCCAAGTTAGGAAGAAATCGGGAAAGAACCAAATAATTAAACGATTTTGTTTCCTGTTTTTCTTATTGCATATTGCTTTTTATTTTGGTTAGTTAAAACTTTCTTCTTCTTTTTCAAGACTTCAAAACTTTCTTCTTCTTTTTTAAAAGACGACACATACATATGTGATTTAGATTCATAGGAAGGCTCATAATTTGAGTCGTTCCAAGCCTTCATTGAGTAGTAACATTTACGTTTATAGTTTTTTATTTTCAATTTTCAATTAAAGATGGTAAATTATTGAAACGAGAAGAAAATGTATGTTCATAAAATTATACCTCGTGGGGTAATAATTGTGTATATTAGTAGTTTTTTTTTTACTTCCATACTTTCTCTTAGCGGTTAACTCTTAACTGTGTTATATCTTAAGAGTTTGTGTAATTTTTTGAAAAATATTTCTTTCGATACATGCCTGATAAATATATAAAAATAATAATAATAATAAAGCCTTGATCAATATTTACAATGAAAAAAATGAGATGGGCATGTGTGATAGAAAAATTTTCTTGCACGCGCGTTAGCGTCTTCTACTCAGCAGAGAGGCTAGCCTGCCCTGTTGGAAAGGCTCGTGAGCTCGTGCAGCAGAGAACCACGCATGAAATTTTTATGCTGGTTCTGTGAAAACCAACTAATTTGTTAGGGTCACAAATTTCATTTCTTTTAGCTTGAATTTCATGTTGTAAGTGTATACTGTTACTATTGTGATAGCAGACCATAAATGTACAAGAACAAAAATTGCGTCGTCCTGCCATGCACATCAAACTTATTTCATGCTTACTAGAAAGTTTTTGTGTGGTGCTGCTGTGCAAACCGAGCTTTAAAATAAGGTATTGAGGAACTTAAAGATTTATTCGTTCGAACATATTTTGTTTCACTATCATATCCTTCCCCAATTCAAATTATGTTAACAAAAACGAGAAGAATCAACAGACGACACATCTTCAATATCTCCATCACACATTAGCAATTCCAAATAGCGAACATATGGAACCCCTCTTTTGCTTTAGTTTATTGTAGTGATTACTGTCAATAGTACTTATGACATATAAGATTTATGGTTCAGGGAAGAATTTTAACATCAAATTGGATTAATTTTCCCAATTTTATATAAGCTTGTGCAATATATCTTGCCTAAAATCTTTCACCAAGCAAACAGAAATGAAGTTTATTTCATATTTCACTATCAATTCTAAGCGATTACACAAAATATAAATCTAAAAATTAAATAAATAAAAATCTATCAAAATGGGAAAAACTATCTATATGAGCTACTCTCCAAATGAAGCAGCATATAGATGATAACCCCTTCCTATGTATGCCGTCCTGCTCACCTAAGGACCTGAAAATGAGATCCTCTTTATAAAAACTCTTATATTAATCTAATGGCACATATAGTTAATAATCTCAACCCTTACTCATGCTCTTCTTTTTACACAAACAAACCCTTTTAATTTGCCGCAAAAACAAAAAACAAAAAAAAAAAAAAAAACAAAAAAAAAAAAAACAGATGCAAGTTGATTTCGACTGAACCCATCTTCTATGAGTTTTGCATCCGAAAGGTTCATACAGCCGTGGTTTCTGACCAATATGGTGGAATCATTCATCTTGAATTTAATTCCAGATTCTTATATACTAGGGGGCACAGCCCGTATGCATCCAAATTATTTGCATTAGAAAGCTACACAATCAAAGAAAGAACATCCAAATTGTTTTCTGAAGAGTAATTACCAATTTTCTAGAATAAAAAATTCAAAGTAAAAATTTGAAATCGAGTTAAACAATAGACACAAGAAGAAGTTGCCTTTGAAAAGGTTGGTTAGATTGTCTCCGTTGATATTTTTTAGAATCCAAACAGGCTTTGTAGTCAAGCCAAAGCAGAAGACATTATCATCCCAACTGTTATATATTATATCATCTGTGAAAAGGAGAAAGAGGATGAGGAGGAGAAGATTACTGGGAGGAAGGAAGACAAGCGTTGAAATTCTCTGTATTTTTATTTTTATTTTTGCAAATTAAAAGGGTTTGTTTGAGTAAAAGGAGGAGCATCAGTGAGGGTTAAGATTATTAACTATATGTGGCTGTTGTACACGAGTCATAACCTCATTTTTAGGTTCTTAGGTGAGCGGGACTGGCTATGTATGAGCTACTCTCCAGAGGCACACTCTACGCAAATTGCACAAACAAATGAAAACATAAAAAAAAAAATTGAAGTTAACACTCGACATGACGGTAATAGCATGGTATAACAATCAAGAAAACATGCATGCCAACACCTACTTCTCTGAAGGGAGGCGGGTGTTTACCTCTAGAAAGCACAGGAAGAAGAAAGGTACTTAAATCATGAGCATACCAACTTCCTCTGCCCTTAGTTCGTTCCTTACAAATCAGTAGAAACACAAATTGTTCCCTTTGCTTTACAAGTACCGGGCATTGTCAATCTATAAAGAGTTATTGAGCAATTGGGACAAACCCCAGTTTCTTATAATGCCTTTTCTTTTGTCTTCGTCATCCTTTGAACAGAAAAGCCAACTACTCTAATTTCTTGAACTAATGACAGAAGACGGTGCACCGGTAATTACACTTTATCATCATGAAACCACCATCTCGTCTCCTTGGGAGATCTGCCATTTCTACAATTCTTTACATATCGGTCATTATCTTCAGGACGTTGCTGCAGGCATGGACAAAGTGCTTTAGATACATATCCCCTACATATTTCAATCTAGTATCCCATTTAATTGCAAATTCCTTAAGGGGGCATGCCCAATGTTTACAATATAATGATTGGTATTTTAGCAGAATAAATTGAAAGCATACCCTCATGCAATCAGTGTCAAAATTGTGACTGGACATGAAATACTTCCTAGTTTTTTTCTGTATATTAATGGAGAGCGGAAAGACTTGCTAGTTAAAAGATTTGAAAACACCAAGCTGCAGAAAAAAGGGAACACAAACCTTCATGGTGGAGCTTGATAGCATGGAGAGAATGCTAATACAGATGGAACTAACAGTCATGGCTGGTGACCATGAATCGTACAAAATATCTACAAAATTCCATACCAACAATAGAGCACATCAGGTGAGGCAGCGAGGGTAAAACTAAAAAAATCATATTCTTTTAAATACAATGTAACTTTAACTTTAACTCATTGGATTCATAATGGATCAAGTTTCCTGGGAGATAAAGAATGTTTGATACACCACGAAGTCAGCAATGAAAAATGACAACTTAAAGCTGCTGTGATATTATCCCACCTTTAATTTCTTTATGATTAAAATCTCCATTACATAAAAATTAATCTGAACTAACAGACTAAACATATCCAGGCTGGCAGTGACCAACCAAACCTACAGCAAAAATCACTACTCAGCAGGATTTCCAAGGCTAGCAAAGTCACTAAAACACGCTTCTTCCTTCCCCACTTTGCAACAGTGTCCCCACAAGGCTTTCACAACAGCCAATAAAGGAGTAAAGTTTTATTATTATCTCACAAAAAATTTGTTTCAGCTAACTAAATATTTTCAGCAATAAATGTTTTGATAGGAAACTGAGGTTGAAATGAAACACTGACTACATATTTTTCAAGTAATGATAATAAATTTACGTGTAAAAAAAAAGGAAACAAAGGATGATTCAAGTCCATTATGAGGACAAGACTGTCACTTTTAACAAATGATGAATACCAAATCAAGAAAAAGAAAGAAAGAAATAATCCTCGTACCTGAGAAGAAAAAGGATCGATGATTTAACTATGTACAAATCACATATCAGTTATCACAAAACAGAGCAAAGATAAGTAACTTATGACATCAAAAGATTAACTGGAACCCATAAATTACCTAAACAGATATGACCGTTGCTATAAATATGAGGATGCAGTGGAGCAGGAGGGATAAATATAACCTGTTCATCCCACCACAAGGATTCAGACCAAAACAGGTTAAATCACCAGTTTTATGGAAATCAAAATCTACCCAACATAAAATGATTTGTAGATATATGTTCAAGCAAATGCATATCACACAAACTGATAGATTTGGACGAACCTGTGGGGCTTCCATTGGATAATGCTCAGGAAAATCGACCTGAAGCTGATAGGCCTCATTAGAATAGAGAGTTCCAGGAGCTCCATTGACTTCAATCACCCACCTTTGCATCACAAATCCCACAACACAATAATTAATTGAATTGAAGTAATTGAAGCAGAAAAGCATAGACATTGAAGAGAAAAAGTAGACATCATAAACCCCCAAAGAGTTCATTTGCCAAATAAAACTGTTAAGGGGGAAAAAAAGAAAGGAAATTTAAACAGAAAAGCGAAAACGGCAATAAGTGTGAGACGCATAAGTTATAAATTCGTATCCTCCTCTAATTCCATTGAATTTTCTTTCTAGGCAAACAAACAGAAAGCGAAAAAAGAGAAGACCTTTGGAGATTATCGGTGACTTTGTGTTTAAAACCTGCCGGGGGATTGACCTGCCACTCCAGGAGCTCCTTCTGGAGCCGATTGCAAGCAATCTTACTCAAAGTCTGAAAATTTAAAAAAACAAACACGAAACCCAAAATCAAAATAAAAAACAAAGAAACCCAATCAAAATTTAAAAAAAAAAAAAACAGAAATTGCACAAGAAAGCGCTTCTGAGATTGTGCTGCGCGTGAAATTAGGGCAAACCTTGCGACCGGAGGCGGAGGAGCTGGTCATGCTTTTTCTCTAGAAAATGGCCGAGAGAGAGAGAGAGAGAGAGAGAGAGAGAGATAGAGAGAGAGAGAGTAGAA